GGGTGGGATCCATCTTCCATTTCTCATGAAGGTGTAAAAGTCACTGGATTCCAGATGGAGCATTAGCAACTGTGGACTCTATTAAATCTCTATATTAAATCTGAAATGTTTGCCATTTGTTCTGTTTCTGCAAAGCTGTCACCTTTGGTTGCCTCCATGGAAGGACTGAAACAAGCTCAGCGCCACAAGATGCTGTTGGACGTGGCTTTGGTGGCCTCTAGGGACTCTGCTTTTATATTAGGTAGAAAAGTATTTGTGTACTAGAAGAAGGAACAATGAAGTGGTATAGTGAAAGCAAAAGGAAAGTGTTGCGTGTTGCGAGGATGGAGGAGTATGGAGATCCCTGTGAAAGCAGGAGGCCAGCATGTGCATTCTCCAAGGCTGTTTTAGGTTGCGGTGTAAAACACGGGCAGAATGGAGGTTGGGGTTCCAGAGGGATTTTCTAGACTGCTCGCTTGGCGTTTGCATCCTAGAGAAGACAAGTGACTGCAGGTCCAGCCTTCACTACCACTGTCACAATGACCATTGTCCCATGTAAGTTAAATGTACTTAATTTATTAGTGTCCTTTTTTTAACTGTTGTAGGTGTATACATTGGATTGACTAGATCTGTTATATCGCAGCTGAATGTGACTGTTGAAAGTAAATAGCATCTTGGTATAAAACTCTCTCAGCCTCTTATTCCTGAGCCCACCATCCCCATCCATCCGTGGCCACGCTCGTGGGAAGACAGACGGCATCTGCATGGAGGTGTTGCTTTTCCCCAGAACCGAGAGGAGAGGTTTCACGCTGCTGATGAAGGGGTCTCTGCACTCAGCAGTTTTCGTGGACGGTAACTGTCTGTTCCTTTGTCACCGTCATGTACTGGAGCCTCTTTGCAGGAGCGTTCTCCCCTTTCATCAGAACTCACCCATGCCATTAGTGCCCTTTGCTGGTCTCCTGCGGGGAAGCTCTGCAGGAGCAGGCTGCCGAGAGGAGGAGCGGGGTCTCCATCAGCAGCTGGGGTCGTGGCCCTTAGCCTTTAGTTGCGCTCACCTACTGCAGGAGGGCTTTCTAGTGCCAGGATTCGAAATGCTTTTAGAGTGTTCAAGTTACTCGGTAGTTTTCCAAGACACTGGTTCTTGCCTCACCCAGCACCCAGCTCTGCTCCATCCGCAGCAGAGAGACGGTGCTGAGCGAGAATGATGTGGAGGGGGTGGCAGAGCCGCCTTCGGGAGCCTGTGAGAGCCCCCAGGCTGGGGGAGCAGCTCCAGGGCAGGGTGGGAGGGACGGACTGACAAACACCACCTGAAATTCAACACAGAGAAACGCAGCCTTGTGCAGAGGACGGAGTATCCTCTGCAGCACAGGCTGGAGTCTCTGCAGCCGTGGGGCAGAGGCCCTGAGGGCAGTGCACGCGTTTCAGCACGTCTGTGACAAAAGCTGACCTGGCTCGTTGCCAGAAGAGACAAGGGCAGAAGAGCAGAGCAGTTTGTTTCTGCAGGCGCAGCGCAAGAGGGAGCACAGGGTTTTCTGCCAGGGGTGAAACAGCTTGGTATTTAGCCCTGGTGTTTTTAATTTTTTATTAAACTAGCCGACAGTGATAGCTTACTCTTACCTCAGCTAGACTTTGTCTGAGCTACCTCCATAAATCAGGTGTTGGGTCTCCCCAGCACCATGCGTTAAAGCCCAGGCTGACCTGTTCCAAGGGCTGCGGGAGACGGAACTGCACAAGGCCGCCTGGCCCTCAGCAGGTGCTGTGGCAGCTCCGCTGTTGTACACTCCTGTGCAGGCTCCCACGGAGCCGCTTCCCCCCTGCACTCGCTTTTCCATCTCATGGCACAGGGAATGCTGCTGTAGCCTGTAACACACGGGAACAACTTTGGACATTTAGAAAAATGATCAAAGAACAGTGGCAGGACACACCCTAAAGGTGTTAGTACATGATGGGTAGGTACTTCCATGGCTAATCCACAGACTGTTGGAGCACCCACGCGCTAGCCTCCCGTCACCCTCTGCCTAGCAGAACAGTGCTGTTACAGCTCCTGGTACAGGAGAGGGGCAGTGAGCAAGAGGCCTTCCTTAAGATTTTCGAGCAGTGGACGAGCGGATGGTCCTTGAGTTGCTCATGTGCTTAATCCACAGTTCTGTATCTCCTGTCTTGGCTGTGTGCTACCTGCAGTGGCTTAGGTGTGGTCCCTGGAAGAGGAGCCTCTGCTGCTAGCTGACCACAAACCGGGAAGGGCAGCAGGCAGCAGAGACCCTTCGTGGGTGGAGCATACCAAGCTCAAATGTCTGTGCCTTTAAAAGGCAGGAGCACATGCTACAAAAGCCAGAAACTTCATTATTCCTGGCAAAACTGCTTGCATCTCACCTTGGCAAGTTTTCAAACTGATGAGGATTTCGGTGACAGATCAGTTCTTCTGTGAAACCATGTAGTATTTTTACTTTAGCGGAATGCTGCAGGAGTACATTTTGCTCTGCTACAACCACGAGCAGTTTCCTGAACAAAATCACTAGGAAAGAACAGGATACAATTGGTCCTTACTCATTAGTTTCTTGCTAGCAGGATCTACGTTAGAGGAGAGATGAACCCATGCTCTTGGAACCTCATGGCTTAATATCCCTGGTCTCACTTAATTTCAAAAAGCCGTCGTTTCTGGTAAACACTACGTGTTTTCCCTGCTTCCCGCAGGACTGGCTGGCTGTCCTTCACGCGGGGCAACAGTCCTGCTTCATTGCTTAAGAAACCAGAGCAAGTCAGGTTTTGCAGTAGTTCCTACCACGTGTTTATTGCGAAGTAGTGGAGCTGTTCTGGTGACTGCTCCCTTTGTCTCCCCCCTGACACCAGCTAACTCGCCTCCCTCTTTCGGAGATGCTGCATCACCAGAGCTTTATCCCTGCCAAAGGGCCAGCAATGCGTGCGTACACGAGGTGTTCGGCCTCCAGCTGCGCTCGGACCTCGGGTGCAGGTGGAGTGCTGCTGGCCTGCTGCAAAGTGAAAAGTAAAGTACTCTGCTGTGAAGGTGCAGAGAGTCTGGCAGCTGGGGAAATGCCAAGTGTGAGAGCTTTCATTTTACATGGCAGACTTTCAGTCACCCACACAAAATACCGTGTCTGGGCAGCTTTTGATTATCTCCAAGGACCGGGACCCCACAGCCTCTCTGGGCAACATGTGCCAGTGCTCAGTCATCCTCACAACGGCAAAGGTGGAAAGACGAAGGCAGGGAGGTGCTGCTGTCAGCTTTCACAGTCCAACCGGAGTCTGAATACCGCACATCAATAAACAGACTCCAGCAGAAACTGCACCGAAGCCTTCCCCAGAGCATTTAAATGGGTCTGTGTCACACGCCACAGGCAGATGTACGTGAGGCAGGAAGGCGCACGGCAAGACCAAGAACGCACAGAAAGTGTGGCTTAAATACTTTTCCCCTCGTAATACAAAGTTACAGCAGCCTCATTTCTTTTGTTACTTTATTGAAAGTGGCAGATCCCTTTCAATGTTTTTAAAAACTAAAACCATTGTTGCTTTGAATACTGGACAAAGCTTGTGGGGATTGTTTCCTTTAAAAAGTTTTCTCATTACACTCGCAGTGCCTGTGAGTAGTAATACAAGGTACCTTATTGACACCATTTGCTACTGTCACGAGCAGCAACTTTAAAAGCAGCAGGAGCCCTTCAGCTGCCTCTCTGCCGGGCCACAGCCTCTGCCTCCTGCCTCAGCAAATGTTGTGTCTGTTCGTCAACTCCTTCTCCTGAGGAAAAAAACCGGTTTGTTCTGCTCTTCATCAGTGCAGGCTCCAAGATGGCTCTTGCCACAGAGAGACGCCCCTCTGCAGCAAGATCAAGCAGCAGCACCTCTTCTCTACTGGACAAGTTCATAGTGTTTGCTGAGACTGCACTTATCCATCGGAGAGGAACAGTCAAGGATCATCATCAGCTTAAGTGAACATCGCACACCGGGATAAGGGAACGTGTGGTCCTTTTGAGCTACTTTTAGCCCAGCACTTACCATCTGCAGGTCTGCATCAAAGTACCAAAACTCAAGCCATGTTACTAACGAAGTGGCCGATCTTTAAAAAAAACGCTGAACAGCTACAGCTTTTGTTCTGAGTGGCTTTGGGGTGAGCCACATCATTCACACCACAAACACCCAGACAGAAAGATCTGGAGACCTAAGGTCTTGCTGACTTCATGGGAATATCTTTACAATTAGAGAGCAGGTCTCTAGGCAACCAGCGATCAGAACTTATTTGCCTAAGTCTATTTTTCTAGACCTTTAAAGTATAGATTTAAGATCTGTACATTTACCTGAATTAAAAATTTGCTTTATAAACTAGTATTATGCAGAAAGCAAAGCTAGTTGGGGATGGCTCCACTGGAATACCTTAAGCGGCCACGACGGCAGCGGATGCTTCAATTTCTCTGCTAGCAAACACCACCGCAGCTTGTCCCTTGGAGCAGAGCCCTGGCTTCAGCCAGTTCCGATCCCAGACTGAAAGCAAAGCCAGAAAGGGCAAGTCGCAAAGAAGGGGATGGAGACCTAGAGCAGCTTTTGCGACCCCCCAGCCGCACACGTGGGTACCATTGCTGCTAGCCACCCAGTTCACACCTTTCTGGAGGGGACAGGGTTCTTGCCCCCAGTCTGCCTTTTGAACAGGAGCCCTGTTGGTGCCTTTGGCTGTTGCGTTCCCCCCGCCCCCTTTTGTTAATTCCTTCTGCAACCTTTGGGCACACACAGGAGGTGCCTGCTCCGCTTAGAGACGAGGACTGCCAGACCTGTGTATCTAGTTGCTTCAGTTGCAGAAAGCAGCAAGGAAAGGAACTCCACCAGCTCCCAAACCTAACGTAACCACTTTGCCTTCCGAGGCAGTTCTGCTGTTGCCTGCACTAGATGAACCAAGGCCTAAACAAAAATGTTGTCCCAGAGCCAAAAAAGGTACAGTCAGCGAACCCACCCTCCTGTGAAACGACAAGCTGGGAGACAGCAGCAGCGTGTTAGCTCAGCTGCTGCTACGCTTCAAAGCTTTTCGTTACCAGCGCGTGAAGGAGCTGAAGCGATCCTCCAGAAAAACTGGAGAGCTGGTCTAACTTTCCCAGAGGCTGTAATGCATGGAGAGCTTCCAAACATACCTACACTCACACACGACTGCTCACAACTGCTTCTCCAGGAAGAGCAGGAGGCTAAACCCATCGGACTCGCCTTCGAAACATCTCTCAATGGAAGAGAATCTCCCCCTTTTCCAGCAGCTAGGCATTTACCAGTAACAAGCTGTGAATCAAACCAAGCCAAAATGGATACATCCATAGGGAAACAATTAAAAACTGCATTGATTACATTGTAAAAACAATTAGACCACCCATCTCGGGTTCTGCAAAAGGTCTAAATTGTACTTGCATTGCAAACCCCACCCCGGGTTATCATGGAAACACGTGTAGTATGAAGGCTCTGAAATGTTCTGGAGTCTGTAACACACTGTTACATCCAACAGCAGATGGTGGTCTGGATTAGAGATGGCGTTCTTATGAAGCTGGAAAAAAATCCTTCCCCCCTCAAAACAGCAGCCGGGAATGCAGGTGTCAGCGGGCAGAGGTCAGGTGGTTCCGACTGTGTGAAAACCTGCCAAGAAAGAACAGATGGACCTGGTCGCTACTGTCCATTTCAAGCACCTGGGAGATGGCCCGCGGGCGCTGCACGGGCCAGCGTGTCTGCGGATGAAGAAGTCAGTCTGGATGTGTTTGTCCCCACTCCCATTGCCACTGTCCGTTTTCCAGATAAAGAAGTCTTGAAAGAAAAAACCCAACAACTTCACAAAAAGCCAAGGCAGCACTTTTTTCACGCCTTTAAGATTGAATTTTAGGCTAATAAGAAATGTTGAGCACTAGTGTTTACAGTCAGAAACCAACCAGGGTCTCCAAGGCTTTGCAAACCTCCAAAAAACCATTCTCTTGTGCTTATGCACCATCCAGTAGTGCTGTTTCTGGGCTGACAGAAGGGAAACAGTGGCCCTGCAGAGCCACCCAGCGCACATCTGTGAGTACCTCCTGCTCAGCGAGTGCCTAAAGTTTTTGCAGGCATCACAAGCACACTTTCTTGCTTGTGAAGAAGCAAGAAGTCAGGAGAGACAAGAGCGTTCCCCTTCTGGCTTTCAGCGATTATTAGATGAGGGATCTAAACAGACCCACAGCATGTTTGCTTGAAAGCTTGAATGACTTCTTAACAGAAGGCCTCAAGGACAGCCAGTAGTTTTGGTCCTTAACATCTAAGGCTCTTCTTGGCTTGACAGCATCTGATGGATACTTGAGCTACAAGGCACAACCTACACCAGCTTAAATCCATCAGAAATAAGTACTCAGAAACCCAAGTTCAAGGGTGTAAAGACTGTAAAGCTTGGGTTGTATTTACATTAGCAACCAGAGAACAGAATGGCTCCTTTGCTCCCACATACAGCAAAATACTTCCAGCCTTCTAACCGGTGAGGGGCCAAATGTTAAGTTTCTCAGCTGGTGAGGAAAGGGCAAGATTTAGCATGCTGTGAAAGGGAGAAAAGCCAAATTAATGTTAAATAAGCCTGATAAACCTGTGATCAGGATCTGGCATTGTTGCCTGCACTACATGGATGTGACTGAACTTGGTGCCAGTAGTGGAGGCAAGGCTGACACTCAGCAAAGTTGGCTGAGCAGCAAAGAACTTAATTCCATCAGACACTACTCTTTCACTGGTTTAGTAAGTAATTCACGTCAGGAAAAACAGAGTTTCCTGCTACCTGAAGCTGGGCAAGCAGAACGACCGGCTGCACCTAGTGCTGTAAAGCACGTTCCTTGCAATGGAACAGATGCTCACTATTCCGGTAGCAATCCCGAGGATGTTTTCCATAGTCCTCACTACCTGGGTAATGGGACCAGCAGGATGTCATCTATACATACATATAAAAACACCCACACACGCAAGATGAAGGTGGATAGCAGCATCATTCTGTGCTCTGCAACACTTATCTACACTACAGAAACCTGTTCAGTGTGAGAAAGGACTTCTGAGGCAGGAAGAACAGCTTCCATTAAATGAAAAGCAGTTAAAAGAAGTGACTCGGTGACTGTAAGGTCAGCTGTCGGCAATATTCACTTTTTGGGTGCCTTGACTGCTCAGTGCCAACCTTCACCACAGCACTGGAGTATGACACTGGCCCGGCTCACTGCCGGTTCCACCGCAGCCCACACTCTAGAGGACACTCACCTTTGTACCCGCTCCACCATGTGTGCTATCAGTTTGTCAGAGATGCCTGGGCAGGACTCCTCAGCCAAGCTGAAGGCATTCTCCAGCTCCTCCATAGCTCCCACATTGCCTCCAGTCTGCTTGTGCTTATCTTTAAGCTGCAACCCAGAAACAATGCCTTAGTTCCTTACCTCGTCACTGAAAGCACTGGTCAAGCAGTGGTCAAGCAGTGCAGTACAGACACTTTTCCTTTTCCCTTTTAGTATGACTCCACAAGGGTGCAGGAGGGCACCCACGTTCTTCTTAAAAAAACAAACATGAGAAAGGGTTCTTTTTGTAGGTCAAGATGATTGAAGTCCAATGTCTGGAGTTCAGACTTTCCTCTGAGTCCTAACAGCAACTGACATCCTGAGCAAACAGGCCCTGACGTACTCGTAAACAAACTAAATGACTGAAAACCCACAAGCAGTAACAGAACAAAGAACTGCAGCTGTATCTGAACCTGTGCTGCTAACAACAGCTTAGCACCCAGACACACACAAAGGCTCGCAGACAGGTAGGGCAGAAAATATCGTAACACCAGGACCTAGTCACCTCCACTTTTAATAACCACAAAAAACTCTGAGTGGCTTTGAGTGACTGGGAGACTGGGGGAGACTACTACCATGCTACAGATGATCCTGAGCCACGTGGCCTCCAACACTCCTCCCCAAGAGAGAGCTTTCCCCAGGGGAATGCAGCCCACACACCAAGACCTCCACATGCAGCATCTGACCTAGCTGAAAAGCCTCGGCTTGCATCTGTCATTGTTAGCACGCTCCCACCAGGCCTCACCAGCCACCAGTCTACTTGCGCATGGTTCCAGCTGTTAATTTGACAAAGCTAAACCTCTGCCATTAAGGAACTCCTGATGGGTCACTGATGCTGAGGAGTGTGTCGTTGAAAAACCCAGTCACATCCTCAGCAGCACTTCCTCACCTTCACACAAGCAGCTCACGTGGCAGCCCCGTCCCTAGTGTGCACCATTACGCGACGAGCTGAACAAAAATCAAAACCTTTTGTTGAACAAGCAATGTCTGCCAGCTAACCACTGTCCAGTTCAATTAAGCTCCCGTTAGGCTATGCTGATTAAAGGGCTTTACATAAGCCTCACAGTTCTTTGCCTGCAATTCTAGGATCAGCCTTTCCTGTTGTTGGAGCTCATCTTTTCTCCACAGTCCAGAAAGCAGGACAATGTGAACGCTAATCCCCAGCTGCAGCCGCCCCTGTGCTCCACGTCCCCCGCTGGAAACCAATGGTTCCTAGCCAGAAGAGCTGCTGCCTCTCCACCGGGGTCACTGCTCACAGACACGAAGCCTCAGCTGTGGCAGCACCTCGCGCACGCCTCTGCTCATTCACACTTGGCAGGGGGCATGGAGGGCAACTCAGTTACACATCAAGGACACAGATTTCTTAGGCCAAAAATAGCTGCGATGCTAAAGCCAAGGATTTGATTAGATGTCTACCTGGTCAAGGACTGCCTGCCTCAGAGCAAAGTGAGACACAGGGCCTGTCCTGCAGGTAGGCTGCCGGTTGATCAGCAGCCTTTGACGCCAAGGCAGCGCCCTTTAGTTTGCCCAGCAGCTGGTGACACGAGCAGTCCGTGTCCTCCTGTCACTTTCTGCTGCAGAAGAGCTTTCGGGAGGTTAGCAGGGGGTTAGAGAGCTGTACCACACAAAGCCTTACCAGTTGGCTTCCATTCACTCCTTGGCCCTCCAGGCCCAAATACCTTACCCTTCCCTCCCTGCCCCAGAAAGGGCAGACATGTTTCCAGATTTGCAGTTGCCCACATCTGTGTTAATGACCCACCATGGGTCATTTTCAGTATTAAAATCCAGTAATACACAGAGAGGGAAGGCATCTAAAAGATTACAAACAGCATTTCAGCAAGATTTCCATTCACAAAGCCCACCTTCAGCCGTTTTCTAGAAACAGGTGATCAAAGCCTATGACCCTGAGCAGGTCTGAGAAGCACTAATGTAACAGTGAGAAGGAGAAAGTCTGCTGCTGGTAGGAAACTAGAACTGAAAAGAACACCACGTGCAACCAGCAGTGAAGCAGATTTCCTGCTTGGAGACCAGCTTTCTTCCAACCCCCTGCTACTGCACGCAGAAGCCAGGTTATTTCAATGACTGCCAAGAACCTTCCCTGCACCTGACTTTGGTGAGTGGGATCAGCAGAGCTGGCAGGGAAGTCCAATCTAAGGAAAGGATGATCAGCAAATCTGGGACAAGCGAGTCGAACTAGCAGAAGCGAAAGGCCCAAGAAGCCACTTCCTGCCAGGAGCTGGTGCAGCAAGGTCGGTAAGGAGAAGCACAAAGGTGCACTCATTCATTTGGACAATTCACAGCTCTGAGCACACCCCCTCCCCTAGAAGTCTCCTAAACAGAAAGGAGAGCCAGATGCCAATGATTATGCTCCACGAACAAACTGCCTGCACCAGAAATTGACATTATTTGTATCCATTTTTATCTCACAGGCCTAGGCCTGCGAGACCCAGACCAGCAGCCTCACGCTCTGACCTCTGGAAGGCAAGCCCAGTGGAGTACAGAAGAGGCCAGTTAGCTGAACTCTCCATTTCCAAAGCGGTGCTGTCTCAAGAGCCTGCCTTTTGAAATGACCTCTGCTTCCTCCCCTGCAGCAAACCCTCCTTCCACATAGCACTAGACTTGAGAAAAGAGATTTAAGTCCAGAGACTATCCCTGAAAAAGCACAGCTCTCTTCTGGGCCACTCCTGGAACAGCATCAGGATCCAGGAAAGAGCAAGTCCTCAGGACCAGAGAAAGGGTCTCTGTGACCCAGCACCTCAAGAAAACAACCTGCCATGCAGTGTTTAAGTTGTCTCTTCGAAGCAGAACTCATTATTTCCTACACTCCTGCTGGAAACAGTAGTTGAAGCTGTAGCCGGTAGCCCCCTTATGACTATTGTCGTTTTCTCCTCCCTTCAAACATCACCCAGGTCTCTGAACTGAAGACAATCCAGCTCTCTGCTGACATGGACACTATCCCAGCATTAGCGGTAGCTTTCAGTTCAACTCCGCGTCCCCACCCAGAACACAAGGCAGGGAAGCAGGGTTGATTTTCCAAACACATTTTCTCTGCCTACCTTCCACAGGGCACGTGGTGGGTAACTCCTTGGCCTCGGCACGCTAGCAGTAGCAGGCACGTATCACTGAAGAAGATGGCCTAGTAACTGGCAAAGCCAGCTCCTGCTCTAATCCACCCACACTCCCCTCAGTGACTCTGCTGCGGGCAGCGCATGTAGCACGAGGGCAGGGAACATGCACAGCAACAGGCACGCTCAGATACCTGCCTGCCCGAACAGGAGCTGCACTCCAGCCACGGAGAGCAGGGACAGCAGAGCCCCGAGTTGCCTAGGCACTAGCAAGCCTACGACACAGGTAAGAAACAGGTATTCCTCTACCTTCTCCTCAGCAGAAGACAACACAGTAACGCTAACGCTTCCAGGAATAGAAGTGTATTGGAGAGAACTCTCCAGGGACATGTTCAGTTTCCCAGCATACAGTATGTTATCAATGTGCCTCTGAACCGAGGTACAAATCCTTCATAGCTCCTTCACCCCACTTCCCTTCTCCAAGTCCTTCCCATTTACTCATCCATGTCAGGTATCTCTTCATGTTCAACCACCGCAGACACCAAGAAGTTTCCACTCACCTCCCCAAAAACTGGGTGAACAAGCGTGGAGAGACACTGTGACCGTGGTTGCCTCTTGATGGGCTCAGTAGGCTGGAAAGCAACATGAAAAGAAGTTACAAGCACAGGCAAAGGCTCCCAGGGCACACAAACTACTAAGCATTTGATAAATTTGCAGCACCTCGATGGCAGCCCCCCCACCAGGTCTCAGGAAAGCCACAGATGGCAGTACCCTGACGATGTGGAAGAGGCAACTCTGGGGCACTAGCCCTTGATACCAGACTAAAGTAAATTTTAGATAGAACATGAGTAACTGGTAGCTTCCCTGAGACCTTCCAAAGCTTGTGTTAGTTCAGTCCAGTTCTGAAGGAACAGACAGCAAACAGACCTTCTGGGAACCATGAAGAGCCATTCCTTTGTGGAGCTTGCTCAAGGAGTTGGGGCGAATAGTTGGTGGGAATGTCCAGATTGGACCCTGGTCTCCATCCTCTGTGTCTCCATCACTGCAAATGAAAAGAGAGTGTTCAAGACAAAGCCTCAGCTCCATACACTGGGTGTTTTACCCATGCATTCCCACAGTCACAAGCTTTCCCCCACCCGATTGTCACATCACCACAGGGCTCCAGGCGTTTCCCTATCCCAGAAAAAATCCGAAAGAGAAACCACATCAGTCTACAGCCCATGGGCAGCACCACAGAGATCTGAGCCAAGTACCACGTTGTGCTTCCAAATCACCACAACCACCTTTCTGCTCTAGCCAGCTCGAAGACCGTTTGAAGTCCTAATGAAATTTAGGAGAATTTCAAGACAAGACAAGCTCACAATTTGAGGGGCCAGGCTTAGGTGTTTCAGGTCAACCTCCCCGACTCATTGGTCACTTGAGCGAGGAGCAGCTCTGCAACACCAGCAGGGCAACAATGCCCCTTCCTCACCCAGGGCTCACATAGCCTCGTTATCCTCCACAGCAGCAGCAAAGCTCTCTGCCCCTGAATACACAAACACACCTACACAGCTGTTGCACAGTTACTAAAGCCTGTAGCACTTGAATTTAACTGAATTTGCATAAAATACAGGCAACCAGAGCCTTGTTTTACTAGTTACACACAGCCTAGATGGTTATTTGTACTTCTGATTCCTCATGCTCAGCAAACAGGCTCCACAGGTTAAGACCAGAGCAGAGTACCAGGTCCCGCTGAACAGGAGGTAACAGCCTGTTTCTCCAGGCAGCAGTCACCTGCTCCCACGAACAGATGCTCACAGGTCTCCCTCAGCTACGGTACAATCTCCAGCCCAGGTGGGGAAAAGCCACTGAGCTGTTTGTGGTAGGCTACCCCGGGGGACGCACAGTACAGCCGGGGCACCCCTCCGTGCAGAACAAGTACGTACATATCAGAATCGCCAGAACTGGAATCTTCTCCATGGCCCTCCGACTTCCAGCGCTTGAATCGATCTATCAGCTCCATTAGGAATGAGGTTTTCTTGGTGTAGCGTGTGATGAACTTGTGCTTTAGCAATTCTTTAGCTGTCGGCCTCTGGAGCAAATAAGGAGAGCACGCTACATCTAACCATCTCTGCACACTAAACCTGCAAGCACACTGACTTCAATTCCTGCCAGGCTTGCCCGTCCATTCTGCAAGCTCAGTACTTCCTTCTCTCCAGGAGCCTTGCACCAAAAGGTCTTCCTGCTAAATAAATCTTTGACCTCTGCGATACTCTACCCAAATTCACAGGTGGACAGCAATACTCACAAATCTAGGATCCTTATTGAGGCAGGCTTCCACAAACTCCTTGAAGGGCTTGCTGTGGTGACCCTCAAGTGTTGGAGGGTTATTTTTGGGGATAAGGAAGAGAACCCTCATAGGATGCAAGTCAGAATTTGGAGGCTCTCCCTTTGCTAGTTCAATGGCTGTAATCCCAAGGGACCAGATGTCTGCCTGAAAGAGCAGCAAGAACAGTGACAGCACAGAACAGCAAGGAGCTATTCTGCGACATGGAAGCATGCAACTTTAGCACAGCCGAAAGGCTGATCACATAAAATCAGACAGGGTGTTTCATGTCTAATAGGCAAACTTCTCCAGCAGACCCTGAACCATAACAGGAAAGTATCATTCTTGCAACAAGCAGCACTTCCAATCCCTGTACTAACCATCTCATACATAGTAGCACCAAGTAGCAATCTTTCTGCTCCCAGCTCACCTTGAAGTCATAAGCAGACTGTTTGATGACCTCGGGTGCCATCCAGAACGGAGTCCCAACAAAGGTGTTTCTCTTGATTTGTGTGTCTGTCAACTGTCCAGCCACCCCAAAGTCAGCCAGTTTCACATCTCCTTGTTCCGAAAGTAGCACGTTGGCAGCTGTTCACACAAATAAGCATTAAGACCGCTGGATTCTGAATCACCTCCAGCCCACGCAGAACCAAATACTGAGAATGGACCTCCTGTGCCATCCTCCTTCGCCCCAGCGAAAACCCTCAGCTCAGATTTCCGGCCTTAGGCTCATTCTCATGCACCAACCTCTGCCGGGCAACAGAACAACTTCACACACTTGGCGGGATCAGAAGGGGACTGCTTCTAGGTTAGCAGAAAGGAGCAGATGCGAAGGGCCACACAATCAGCTAGAGGTGATTCCTGGCCACGCAAAGGAGAGAGGGCAACACAGTCCAAGATACCTCTATCGGTCTTGATTTTTTTTCAGAGTAGCATTCAGCACAGCTTAAATAACAGATCCTCCTAAAGAGCTCACAAGTCCTGGTCCTGTACTGTTTCCCACTCACTCAGCTCAAGACAGTGACATTGCTCTGGTTTTGGGACGGGGTTTTTTTTTTTGTAGGACTTTTCGTTCTGAGAGAGACCCTACCTACAAACTTCCAGCATTTCCCCACTCTGCTGGCAGCCAACAGTCCTGCAGCACTAGAAACGTGTAGGCTCACATACGCAATGGAATCTTTTCCACATAACTCTCTGCATGAGGCTTTTCTGCTCTGCTTGTTCACATCCCCTCCTGCAGAGGGTCAGAGCAGTTCGCATCCAACACTGGCCACATCTCCACAGCACTGTCCTGCTGCCCTTTGCTGCTCTGTGCGAGACTGCTCCTTGGGAGACAGATGCCAGATACGTATGCACTGCATACGGCCAATGACTACAAAAATCAGTAGCAGGATAAGCTGACCCAAGCTGGTCTGATTTTACAGGGCTGTGAACCCGCGTGAGGACAGCTCACCCTCAGAATAAGTTATAACCATGATACCCAGCATACACACGCCTTGGGGTCCAGCAGCAAAGCAAATGTCCAGACATAACTGAGAGTCAGCAAATAGCTGAGCACGCCTTTCATTGACTCCTTTGCTTTAGCCCCCTGCCTGTCCAAACTACAAATGCCAGAGAAGAGCTACAGATCCTTACTGTTACTCTAAACCCCAAAGACATGGAAAACATGAGTTGCAATAAAATGACAAGCATCAGATTCAGAAACAAACCACCCAACAGGAAAAGCAGCACTGAGAAACCCTCTTTGAAACCTCTCAGATTCTTGCTGTGTAATACTTCTGAATCGTATGTTAGTAACATCCCTTATAAGACAGAGAGCTGAGCTCTCCGCTCTTACCTTTGATGTCCCTGTGGATCTTCCTCTCAGAGTGCAGATAATCCAAACCCTTCAGGATTTCTCTCAGGATAGTAGCTATGTAAGTCTCCTCCAGGGGTCCCGGCTTCAGCTGATAAAGGGCAGAAAGATGACTTAAAGCAGGGTGACTGATGCCTTAGATTTTCCAGCCTCTCAGTTTGTTACTTGGAAACCTTGGCCAAACAGGTCATGTTCATCAGGAAGCACCTACTGCATGCCTGGTTCACATTCTGCAAACAGAATGCTGGACTTTGCACCTGACAACATTAAATGGAAGATCTTTGTGGGATTTTCTGCTACTCTATTAAAGGCTTCCCAGACAAACAGCAGGATGCTCATCTCTTGCTTCGGCCTGGAAACACATTGGTGAAGCGAATACCTTAACAGTTTCTCTTGTTCAGGTCTCTCTGCTAGCGTGCAGGAACTGAATTTCAGCCACTGCAACAGCCCAGAGACAATTTCTACCCTCTGGCTGTGGAGTATTGTATGAAAGCACTTCTTTCCATCTGTTCTCCTCTAAACAAGTCCTGCCTTCTCAGTGCAGTAACTGAGGTTCTGACACCAAGATCAAGTCTGCTGATGACAGCCCCCCCACTACACCCTTCCTCCAAGTTACTGCAGGCTCAACAGTTTTCACTACATCACCTTAGTTACCACTCTGGAAAAACTGGCTCTACTGTCCTAAGCAGAAAAGCAAAATCCTGTGACAGAATACAGCACAGCAGTACTTTGCCCATTTGTTTATTCTGCATTTGCATTCCCTTAAAATCTGGGCTAGCTTGTTAGACATCATCAGTATTATCAAACATCTGAGAATCCTGATCATAGACCAGGTCCCTGCTGAGCCTGATGACACGCAAGCACTGAACAATACCATGAACTCTTATTAGGTGAAGTGTGGATTTGCTCAAAAACAACTGGCTGCTGTCACATTGCAGTTCACCGGCCCTTCCCAGTGCAAAGCAGCGGAGCACGCTGGAGAACGATGCTTTGACAGCTGACCTCCACGCAAACGTTTCCTCTGTCCTAGCACACGCACAGCAGCATGTCTGTCCTGCACCGCCTACCCTCCAGGCACAGGGCTGTCAAAAAGATGGTATGTGGCAAGTGAGTGTCTGGCTTAAGGGCACTTCACAAACCAAGGCTCCAGCCAATGTTTCTCATGGTCCAGAGCTTACCATGTACTTACCAAATCCAGCGCTGAACCTCCTCCTAGGTACTCCATGATTATCCACAGCTTAGTGCCCTGCAAGCAAGAACACAAATCAAGAGCAAAGACAGTAATAAAAGCAGGCAGAAAAGTGAAACATCCCAAAGGCAGCAAGACACATGAGTAGTCCTGCACACAATCCAAGAGATGCTGTACACTGCAGCTCTCAGAGGCTTAAAGAAGGAGCTCCCAGCTCCCTCTTCCCTGCTGACACAGCGTTATAGCGGTGGACCTGCCCCCCGTACATCTTTTTCTCCCAGTCTGCACTTTTTATCTGAGCAAGCTTAGTGCTCCAGTGTTCACCAGACTGCACAGCCCACAGAGATAAGCATATTCATCTAAGTATAGTTTCAGACTCCTGTTCTTTCCAGAGGCATAAAGCCCTCAGCAGTACTACCTTAAAACTGTGGCATTTTGGAAAAGTATTCCACAAACTTCCTTTCAACAATGGTCAAACTGGAGAGACGTCAGCCTCTTCAACAAATAATTCTCTATCCAGTGAAGTGCCCTGCTCTTCAGACCACACTGTACCGAGTCCCTCATGTCCATGTGCTTGAAAGGCCAGCCTCCTATTAAGATCCCATAAATGCAGCGAGCAGAGCAGCTGGTGGCACTCACAGACTGGGCACCTGTCAGTACTGTACGCTGCCACCAGCTGCAGCACCCCCATCCCCAAACTGCTGGCAAGAGAATCGCCATGGCTTTGTCCTACCTTCAAGTAGGAGCCCTAGTAACGGGGGATGTAAATGATCTTGATAGCAACCACCTCCTTGGTGCGGTTGTCAATCCCTTTATACACTTCACCAAACGATCCTTTGCCGATCCGCTCCAGCTTAGTGAACAGCTCCTCTGGATCCACCCTGGAGTGCTAAACCAGAAAGCAGAGATGGGAAAAGTCCATTACGTCCCACGGCAGCCTGCGGAGCGCCACGCATGCCCACCAATACAGCTCATCTCCCCCCCTACCGTGTTGTTTAATGCACCCGAAACTCACATATCCCAAAAAGTCTCCACGCGCTGAGAAACTTAACACAGAATATATCCACAATTAGAAGAACTGAAGAAACCTTTTACATGGGTTTTCCAGCCCTGCTGACTGTAGTGGGAGGGGAAGGGGAGAGAAGCCCAGAGGAGTCTGTCAGCAAGTATCTCTACGGAAAGCATCAGCTCGTTCCGGACAGGACTGCTCAACCGCCGGCACAAACTGGTGCCAAAGTAGGTCCACGAGCAAGCACTTGTTCACGCTTGAATAAAAAGACAGGCAAGGTGTGCTAGAACCAGCCCTTTCTGAAGATCCGGATGAGAAAATGGGCACAAGCAAGAGGCCATAGGAAGCTCACAAGGAGGCTTCCCTGTCTGCCTTCCTGCACTCAAAGACTGTAATAATTTGAAAGATCTGCACCTTTCTCTACTTGATCGGAGGGCGAAATAATCCAGTAATACAAATACCAGTTCACATCAGCTGTCTTCTCTGCTGCAGCCTGATTTCGAGGCAGCACGCAGCCCAGCTCTCTTCAGAAGTTTGCAGAGGGAGCCTCGCGTCTTCTGGAAGGTCAGCCACAAGGAGACCAGACACCTGCCTATCCCAGAGGAGACGGGAGAGCTGAATGGACGCTCCATGTGCAGACCTGCTTTTCTGGAACAGCCGCTCCTCTGGCTGGCACGCCCAGACGCAAAAGCAAACGGCATTTCCCTCATCAAATAAGCATATCAACTGGGAAGCTACGAACATGATCAGCATGGGCGAAATACTGACTTTTTAACAGTAGCTTTAAAGTTAACTCTTTATTAAGATGAGTATGGACAAGAAAACATACCAGAATCATTTTCTGATGCTATTTAATTCTGCCCAGATGCAGACCAGGAGGTCCTGCTCTGCTTCATGCCACTAAAAGGCTCTTTGTGATTAGTTTTTCTGCCTTTTTTAAAAAAATAAGTCTAGCTGAAAAGAAAAAAAATCTGGAAAATATGGCCTGACCTACAGGAAGCGGCCAAGCTGTTACAGGGAGTTTTCCACACCCAGAACTTCTCAGTCTCACCTCCAACACATCACCCAGAAGAACCGCTCCCTTGCGAGGGCCTTGAGCTGGCAGAGATTTTATCTGAGAACAGGGCAGCTGCATTTTTCCATCTAACACCAGGTTCTAGCAGTAGGCCATCACTGAGCAGCCCCAGGTGCTGCTTAATGATTAAGCCAGCCAGTCATTACGGGTCATTTGCCTTCTGTGCTCAGTGCATCGCTGTATGGAGCGAGCCATGCCCACAGTGAGCTTTACAGTCAGCTCACTCAACAGGATTTCCATGTGCATTCCAGTCCAAGACACAGAAGGACAACCAAATATCCTTGTGCATCCATGGCAACGCCCAGACAGGCTGTACTTTGAACAAATGCACTAGAAACAGACTGGAGGGGATATGCAGAGATTAAAGGAACCGGAGATACATAACAGGGACTGGAGAGAGCGAGGCAGAAGAAAGGAAGAGGATTTGAGCTTGAGAAATGCCAGGAGACAACAGGAGAATGATGACTGCAGCATAGGCAGAACAGTCTGGCTAGTCCAGGCTCAAAGCGACCAGGAGCAGCTTCCACCTCTTGACCAACTTACAGGAAGGGGCAGCAAGGTGGCTCAGACGTCACCTACTGCACTGTAAAAATGCCACTCACCACACCAGCCACTTCACACACCAGGGAGAAGGGAGAGCAACAGCATCATCTCCTAGAAGCACCTGGCTCAGCTGGCAAAGGAAACACTATGCACACGAATCTGCAGGAAAACCACCCTGCAAGAAAACCTTCCTCCCTTCCTAGGTAAGTAATTTTTCCATGAGAAAAGAAATTACAAGGTGTAAGTTACAGCTCCTCTCCGCAGCCTGGCACGGCACATCAAAGAACCAGAACTGATTCTTCAAGAAGAGGACATTAAACATAAAAGCACCGGCTACTGCAGGCAGCTTTTGGGACAACTACCGTTTTACGAATCAAGCTCTGTAGCCATGGACAGCTTTGTACACAAGCTTCCATACGGCAACGTTGGTTTATGCCTTTTTCTGTGGAACACAGCAGTTCAGATACGGGTGCTGAAGGAGACAGACCTTCCTGACCAGCACATGGAAACTTTGCCCAAAGGACTCAGGAAAATGATACAGCTCTGATGGGCACAGGAGACAGGCCCAGGCCCACCACATGAGGGTGGAACAGGAAACTTTGTTTGTAGGTACTGCATTTACCTTCCCTGTACCTGTCACTTC